GAAGAATACAGTTCAGCTTTAGATTGCGTTAGATTGTGTAACGGAGAATAAAAAATGAAAAGTTGTTCTATTCTGTAGATAGAAATGTATCCGATTTCTTTCATTCAGCAAAACGAGAGAAAGAAAAAGAAAAGAGAATGATATTGATCTATATCTACGCGTAGACTATGATCTACGTCTACGAGTAGACTTATTTTTGACGGCTTCCCTAAGATATGAGCAAAATACTAAGTGACCGATTTATTCTGGAACACCCGTTACATTTTAGTAGTAAAAATGGTTTTTCTACTTTGACCCTTACCCGCCCTCTCCTTTGTTACATTTATTGTCTGAAACGCAAGCTTGAGAGGTACTTCCTTTGCGGTGAAAAATTGAAATCAACGTAAAAAGGTGGCTTTTCTTGTTTTTCACTATGAAGGAGATGTTCCCCAATACTGATCTTGAAGATGAAGTATAGGAAATTGAATTTTCTGAATTTTAATTGCTAAACTCAATTTTGTACAATTCGATCTTCACAATGCAAAACTACTGTTTCTCATCATTTACAACAAGGCGGTTTCTTACTAGGTGCGTCTAGTTGAAAATGGCTGTACACTTGATGCATCGTCCGATTTTGATGCTTGGATGGAATGTAATGGACTTAAAACGGTTCAAGTAGATAGATCACACGATATATTCCACGATGCATCGCCCGACACATGGAATGATGTATCCGCCGGTTTATCAGGCGATTTGACATGTGTCTCATCTGGGACCGACACACAATTAAATTCATCTCCTGATACATTGCCCGATGAATCCGGTTAATATCGCTACTAGATACATAACTAGATACATCTAGAAATGAATCGGCTGTATCTATATGTATCGAATATAACCCGATTCAACCTTTTCTCCTTTTCATGCGTTAGATGTATCGTGTCAACTATACGAGTATCTTAAGCTTACTAACCTTTATGACAAAATGCTATAGTACAAAAATAAAAATTAATAACGAAATTCTATCTGAAACGAAAAAGAAACGTAACATTCTTCGGTCTTCCTCTAATTTCGATAAAGATATCGTTAAGTACATATCCTGTATACATGTGGATAGAAGTTCTCTTTTTCTCTCTCGTTGTCAATCGTTTCTACACAGGGACAATAAATGTCAATATAAAAAAAACTTCTACTAGAAGTTTTTGTTATATTGACATTGCGGCTGGCAATTGTCATCTACGATAAGACAACGTGCGATGTAATCCTCACATTCGCACAGTATACATAAAACACACACGCACCATTTCTTTCTCCCCTTCTTCGTGTGATGTCAAAATAAGACAATGAAGTTAATAATAATCTTTGTAGCAGTCTGGATCACGCTTGTTCGAAGCACAGTGGTTCAACGCGACCGTGTACTGGTGAAACCACCAGGCAAGAGTAATGTCACCCTGGACGTTATCATCGACAAACCTAAGGATGATGAAAGTGGTGAAGTGATTGTTATGTTGCCGTCATCGCAGCGCGGTTCTGATGAAGACTTTGACCCCGTGGCAGAACGCATCGCTCTTGCCGGTTACCGTGTACTGCGGCCGCAACCGCGAGGTATCGGCCAGAGCCGAGGTTCGATGGAGAATCTCACATTGCACACACTCGCCGATGACGTGGCTGCCGTGATCCAAGAGTTCGCCGCCAGCGGACATCAAGCGGTCGTTGTAGGCCATGCCTTTGGTCACTACGTGGCTCGTGTCACTGATCTCGACTATCCTGAGCTGGTGCGTGGCGTGGTCCTCGTCGCGGCTTCACGATTCGGCGGAGATTCCAAACTGAGCGCGAAACTCGACAATATCGCCGATGGAACGCTACCGCATGAAGAACGACTAGCTCTTCTCTACGACGCCTTCTTTGCGCCCGGGAACGACGCAACCGTTTGGCTAACTGGCTGGTATCCGTCTCTGAGGAATTTTTATCGAAATGCATCTAGAACGCCGCCGAATACCGCCTGGTGGCCCGTGTCGAACGCGCCTATTCTCGATCTACAAGCAGCCGACGACCCATGGCGACCGCGTAACACAAGCCAAGAGCTGAGAGACGCACTCGGCGCTGACAAAGTCACCATCAAGACGATCGAGCACGCCAGTCACGCTCTTTTGCCCGAGCAGCCAAAACAAGTGACCGATGCCATCGTCGCCTGGATCAAAGCATTGCCGTCGTCGGCAGTGAGCTACACTAACAAAGATTCCAGCGGCATGATCGTACTTTGTACTTTTGTTTTCGTGTACATTCCTCAACTGTTATTTCTCATATAAGAGTCGCTGTGTGGGGAAGATTTTTTCGAACATGTCGAACAACTCTATATATGTGCAGCGCATAATATGTGGCATGTTGTACTTGGACCATTGTTTCCATGCATAACTTAGTTCCCTAAGGTTAGATATGTATCGAGAGTGAGAGTCTTGGATCAAGGATCCGAAGTCGTGACAAAGACTCCGTAATACACTCTAGACTATACCCGACATTCTTGCCCTCGGTACATGCCTACCTTTGAGTCAGTGCGCGACAGTCGTTTCCTGGCGTGCGCAATCAAAAAGCCTAAATTTCTTACAAACTGATTTTGAGGGCAGAGTCAGGTTGTGTCGACACAGAGGATATGTACTATAACTAATAAGTGTAGCATCTATCCAAAAATGTTTCTTCGCTTGATAAAGAAAGAAAAAGACGAGAATCGAGTAACATCCATAAAGCTTTTTGAGATAATATATATAGAGTGAGATATCTTTTCTTATTGAACTGGTCTCAAATAGAAAAAAATTAGAAAGACTGTCAATAATGGTGACATCTTTTCGAAGTCGAAGAAGCTGAAGTCTACCAAAACCCAACCTCTCCTTTCAGATGTGTCCCCCTCCATGTCTCCTTGTTGCTCGAAAAATAAATTAGGCAAAGTGACGTAGAGAATGAGGCGTATAATTCGAAGATCATCACTCTAGAAATCGTTTCGTATATACGAATCTGATCAGGCTTCTATAAGAAGATGATAAGAAGCAGATAAATGTCTTACACAGATTTTATAAGTTTCGTACGAATTTCTTATATAAGAAGTTGCATGAATGTGATAAGAAATTTATAAGAATATTAATCGTTAACGACCGAGAACAGTTTTTGACAATGCAAGGATACTGATTAGAAAAATGGAGGTTATGGACCCCTCAGTGTGCTTATCTTCTTATAGCAAAAAAAATTGAAGCTGCTTTTTTTTTCGAGATACGTAACGCCCTTGCAGTCTAGCAGGAGAAACGCTTAGATCCATTTAGGTCATTCGAACTGGTCATATATATCAGAATCACTCATATATATGTAGATTCAAACGTTTTAAATCTTTCTGGGAGCTTTTAAGAATTACAAAGACTTTAAAGAACTTGATTTTTTGAAAATTCCTATAACTTTATTTATATAATTTTGCTTCGACATAGTTAGAGTCATAAGCATTCGAGAATATTCCTCGAACCTTCCAGAAAAATTCAGGATATCTGATTCTGTACCATTTTTACTCCTATCTAGATAGTACTGTCTATTATCAAAAGCATAGTATTTTCCTTAAATCGAAAGAACTGTTATAGTGTATTATCGATCTATCATATCATCGGAAAATAAATAGAGTAAAAGCGATTATAACGTATATTAGAAAGTCATTATTTTGGTCTCTGCTGCTTTGAGCCATTCATACCACTTCAATGGTGACTATGAGGAAACGTACAGATTGATTTTTTTCTCGAAAGAAATCGAGTGTTTGTGTTTTAGATATAAGAATGATGACTTGTCCCAACTTTCTTTTCGATGTTAGATTTAAACGATTTCGGAATTCAATGACTCATAATCTCGTCAAATGGACTCCAAGAAAATAAGATGGACGATTGGTTGCTCCTGTCGCAAGTCTACAGAAGGTTCAACCGATGAAAATATATGTTTATTTTCCCTAAAATCCGCTGACTTTCATTGCGTTCATGTCGCTGTATGATTTTTCACGTGAAAGTTATTTCTCGTTATTTAGACATATTTGTAAGTAATCTTTTTCCTCTTTTTTTTAGTGACCAAAGAAGTTTCTTTTTGTAAATTTTTCATTCTATATCTCAACTTGACTTAAGAGTTCACTGTATATCTTCTTCTCTCAGTATCTTTCTGTATATCTTTCTATCGGACTTCATCTATAGTTTGTTTTTTTTGTTCAAATTCCATTATACCTATTCTCTTTTTTTATTATAAATTTTTGTTCTCAATAATACAGATGTAATACAGCAGTGCTACAGAGAAAACACGCATGTAGTTCTCAGAATTCCAGCACAGTACTCAAAAGACTGTATACAGTCTTTTGAGTACTGTAAAACTTTACAACTCTATACCACCGTGAATATCATTTAAACGTGCTTCAGCGTTAATATTTCGTCATTGATTTAGAGGGCTGCGCGATTACAATTACAAAATGTAAAGTTCAAACACTGCTATGTTCCTAGAAATTGGGAACTTTAGAATTTTGAATAAAGGAAGCGTGGGTGTACACCCTCGTAGTACCCAACTACTGAATACTATTCTGTTGCAGTACTCAGGTACTCGGAATTCAGCATGAGTACGCACGCTGAGTACTCAAAAATCACGAGTACTCATGTATTTCGCTTATCTCTGTTCGTTCTTTTGTGGCATTATACATATCATCTCTTTCATTTCAGTTTGTCTTATCTATATCATCATACATATGATCTTGTTCTTTTCTTTGCGATATTATATGATTGTTATCTATTTCGTCAGATCAATCATATACTTTCAATCAGTATTTATTTCACCATATATATATACGATGATCTTACCGGCTCCTTTTTTAGGTACTATTTCATCATTTATGATTTTGATCTTTGTCTGTTATTACATCATATGTCTCCATATGCTCCTGGTTATGTGTGATTTAGAGTTGCATCATTCGTTCATTGTAAATTTTTGATTTTTTGCTATAAA